TTTCTTTATTTGCCCGCTTTCTTTCTTTCTTTCTATCCATCTATCTATCTGTCCATCAAACTATCTATCTATATCCACCTATCCACTCAAATATTTATCCATATATCTATATCTCTGTATTTATGTATCTATTTCTCTTTGCATATCCATCAAACGATCTATTAATCCATCATTATATCTATATTTCTGTCTATCTATCTATTAATCTAGTTAGCTAGCCGTTTTTCTTTATATATATATATCTTTTTATCGTGCAGTCTATCTGTCTATCTATCTAGATGGTTATGTGTGCATGTAGCGAAATGACCTTTTTCTTTCACTTTTCGTGGTTTTATTCATTTTCTACTTTAGAAACAGACTGGTTCGTCAGGCTGCCATCATCCGTATTCAGCAACTTGCATTATCACCTCTCGGAATGCATCCCCAAACGATCAATTCATTCGAAGCCAAGACGGATGTTACAGCTACGCCCTGTCCGGATGTCGACTCCTCTTCTCACTTCAGCCCTCGTAGCTAATGAACTCGGCTGTTGTTGCGAGGGCAACAGACGCACTGGCAAACAGCCTCAAGAGTCACCGAGACAGTCACGTCTGCCACTAGCCTCGTCGGTTCTCTCAATCTGACCGGCTGAGCCTGGTTGATCCGCCTGAGCTGGCCGCAATCGGCGTGGGCGAATCCTGCCAGGCGAAGTTTGTGTAAACAAATCAAGTGTGCGTCCTAACTTCGGACCCGCCATGTTGACATTGGCCACTCTGTGACCGACCGATGTGGCCTACATGCACACATTATCAGCCCACTTGCTTACCCATGCATTTGGACATATAAGATGAGAGCCATGTGCAAGCAGGTTTACGCCGAGAGCTCATAGCTCAGCCAAAATGTTTAGTGTCTTGACCATTTTCTCACCAATCCCAACAAGTTCGCCACATGGCAGTCTCGATGGGCTGTTTACTACGATTTGCCTCCTCTCGCCAACCTCCCTTCTTAGTACGGCTTGTATGAATCTAAAAGGATTTATGAAAAGTCGTGTTTTGAAGACTTCCTTAATGATCTAGTTTGACTTTATTTTTCATGTTGTACGTAAAGTTGGTTGGAAAGGTTCATGAATTGGCCACATCGGAAACGGAGTGGATTTAGAGTGATTTTCATAAATTATAGTTCGTCTCTCTGACGATGTCTGTCACTTGGCCGGCATGATTCATCGGACTCTTCGGTTTCGGATGAGGCAAATTCACTAATTCCTCCAAACCAACTTTTGCCTGCGAACAAAAGCCGAGTCAGACTATAGGGAGTCACAAACTAAGTCATACATGATAATTATGCCCTTAGAAATCCGATGGTTCGTCACATTTGAAGATTGACTATTTGTGGCTCAAAAATGAGTAATCCTGCTTTCTGTCAAGCTAACCTGATTGGGGTCATTCGTTGAATTCTCAAAAGGAAAACCATTTTTGGCTGCATAGCGCAGGAAATATCCCCTGGGCAAAATAAGGCATTCTCATCAAATTGCCATAATGAAATGTTGTATATTGATAAGCATCAGATACCTAAGCTTTACGACTAAAAGGGCTACCAGCGAAATTTCAGTAGTTCTTTTTATGTTCACTCTTGCTTACTAGCACTAAGTGGCTGAAAACATGACTGGATGTCGTTTTTCCTCTCTGAGAGAAGATTCCCGTCTTGAATATCGCTACAAACGTGGTATGTTTTGATCGACTGTAGGATGGCCTACTCCGTACACTCTTTAATAAACAAATGCCTCTTCAAGACCATTGAAAATAATACTTTAAGTAAATAATAAAGTGTCGTTTTTACTAAATAATTATAGTATACCATGCAAAATGGGAGCAGAATGCCCGCTCTAGAAGCGACTTCTTAGGGTTTATCAGGCACCCGATCAAATTGATCTATTTTTTTTTACCAATTTCTACTGTCTTCTTATTATCCTAACAGCGATTGTGCCCACGAAGAAATGAAGAGAAAGATTGAGTCGAGGCAATTTCATTTTGCCACGCAATTTAAACTCGTCTCACCGCCTCATCCTAACGTCAAACAGGATTCGAAGTCTGGACGTGCAGACCGAGGCAAATACATATACAATAAGCCATACAATCAAGGTCAGATTATACGAGATGTACTCACCCTATTTCGTCAAGGCAAGGAAGGAATAATAGTAGACTTTTGTCAAAATGCTATGATTACACATGACGTTTCCATTGAAGTTCACATAGCCTTGCTTTCCAAAAAGTATTCTCATCCGGTGTGGAATGGACGACAGTTTCAATCTCTCTTATGTCTCATCGGCTCCCCCAGCGGAACTCGAACCGTGACATTGAGGTGCATAATCTCAAAACATTATCCGCTATGTCACAAAGCCACGAGTGCCCTTAGGGCACAGGGCTGATGTGAATTTCAAGGAAGGCCAGGCATTTTTCCATATCACATTCTATCGTGGGATTGTCAATTAAGCAAATATGTAGTTGCTAAAGCAATCGATTATATTAATTAATTTTTGTTTAGAAGTAGGTGATAGAGTCTACCAGTAGATCATATATATGAGATGTATTCATCTTACTTTGATAAAGTGATGAAGGGCTGGTAGTAGAATTTTCCCACAACCCAATTTACCAACGGATCCGCATCTGTGAAACGACAAAGGAATCACGCACGACCCGGTCAAAACTACTTTCAAGCATCAGCTGGGACGAGCTGAACAGAGCAGGTTGTTGGGCCTGTTGCTATAAAGGGGAGGTTGGTTCGGAGCGTAGTGCAACGGTTTAAGGGGGCTGATATCCTGTTGTTGGGCGATAGCGCTGTATTGTGAAATAGCTTACAGTGGGGAAGAAGCATCGGTTTAACCGAGGAATAGAGGCTTAGATATAATCGCTCAACTGTGAGCCGCAAGTACAGTTAAAGAAAAGGAAAGATGAAACTTGAGACGGAAAAACGGATGCTGATATGTTTTTAAGTGATCTCGGCATTTCAGAGCTGGAGGATCGGGTAGTTCACGAAGAACCGATGCAGGACTTGACCTTTAAGAAGGGTCAACCAAATGTTCCGCAATTAGACTCTCACAGTGGCTTAGCTGTGTCTCATTGAAGAGTTGATAATCTGTTCTTAGGACGTATGTAAAGAGACGAACGAAAGCCTAGCACGTTTCCACCGTAAAAGGAGATTTCTCTATGAACAACATCAGCTGGAATGATCTATTGAAGCCAACCGACGGCTGTTTAAAGGAATTCCGCCATCTTCTTCTGCTGAGAGTGACCCTTGAATCTCATCATCAGAACATGGATGAGCCAAACGATGTCTCAGAACCCAACTTTTCTTCCCGTTTGTGTGGTCTTATGGGTATGTTGAAGGACCAATATATTTTGCGACCAGTTCGTTAAATTTTGAGGTATATTTTCTCGCTCTGCAAGGCTAGGCAAAATGCAATGTCAATTTTATCAAGGGAAATCTTGCAATCATTCCATAAATTATAATTAGTGACGTAGGCTGATTAAAGTCAACTGGTGTGAATGACAAGTTAACGTCAGTCTAAGGAACAGTAGCACGCAGCTTGACCCAACGATTCTCTTTAATTGCATGCCATCTTACATGATAAAGACTCTTCTGTCAGTGCATTTTATCTCTTGCCACTTTTATATTAAAATAAAAATAGAAGTTAGCATTAGATTTTTGAAAGTAGTCAATGGGAGCATACATACTTGCGCAGCGCAGGTGAATTAAAGATCATTTGCGGCCTTCTAGGCAAGAGGGATAACTTCCAATTCACGTCTGGGGATGGTACAAACAGATCAGGGGATAAAGGGCCTATCGGTAAATTTCCATGCACTACGGAAATGATATTATTAGCCTTATATCCAGGGCATAG